ACGGAACCCAATTCCACCAGAATCCACCAAGGGTCGTTTTAGCGTTCCAGTACGCAAGACTCTGATTGCAGCTCGACAGAGACAAAGAGCATTTGCGGAAAAAAAGCGCGTCGAAATGACGTACGTTGTCGGGGACCGAGTACTTCTGAGTATCAAGAATCTGATTCTGAAGCACGCGGAGCGAAGCCGCAAGCTGACGCCCCGCTGGTGGGTCCCTTCACTGTTGTGCAAAAGGTGGGTTCTCTGGCTTACAAATTGGAGATGAAACCGGGCTGGCGTATTCACCCCGTTTTCCACGTCTCACTTCTGAACCGTACCGCTCTGATGGGCGAACCCAACCCCCACCTATTCCAATCGAATTGGAAGGTCATCTGGAGTATGAGGTCGACTGTATACTAGACCACCGTGTCTCTAATCGAAAACGGGAAAACCTCTGGTATCTCATTAACAGGAAGGGTTATGGACCAGAACATAACGCCTGGGAACCCGAAGGTAATGTCGCAAACGCTCTTGAGGTGATAGGAGAGTACTGGCAACGGATTGGACGAGCTGCTGGCATAGGAGCTGCTCCAGCTGCATCAATTCCTGGAGAAACGCGCATCCGACGGAACCGCTAATCTCCTCGCGTGACTCAATTGTGCTGGTTCGGCATGCTGGCTGTACTGTGGTTACTATAACTGGATTCTGAAACTGATTCTGTGTTTCTTTGAACTAATTTGTGACAATCTACTACTCTCACTCTGACCTGTTGATTTTTACAGTCCTCACATCATGGAGTCCCCCCGGGGCCCCCCTGGAAGAGGCGAGTGTTACGATCCGTGTGGCATATCCATTCGGACGGCCTCGTATCAATTCTGTTCGGCAAGACTTATCCATTAGGGTAACGGTCGAATATCTGTTCTGAACCTCTGTTCTGCATATTCTGAGCTATATTCATTTGTCGCTTTAGTCTAGTTGTCACCCGCACATGAGTACTGTATATGTGCACCGCCGGCCACGTGTTATATCTGATGTACGCATGGCAGTCGGCGTGCGTATTGGACGCGACGACTCACACATGACACGAATGCATCTTACTGGATAATGATGTACAACCGGGATGACTCGACTTAGCTCTGTCCAGACTTATCCACGCGGCCAAGTCTCATGTACTGATTACTGTGTTCGATTGAGTACCGGATAGGAATACCAACTTGAGTATGTAGTACGCTTCGTACGTACCGAACCAGGAAGGATGGCCTTGAGGGAGAAGGTCAATGAACAAGATCACACTTCTGATGCTGATCTGAAGTAAGCAGTTTTTAAGAGCGCGCAGCTGGTGAGCAAGACAAGGGCTTCCGCAAGTGCATTCTGATCCGCTATAGGGCCATCACCGTGACACCATGAGTAGCACGTAGTTTATATGACACAATTCTTATATGACACAAAGGAGAATTGACTAACTCACTTCCGAAGTTCCCCCCTTTTAAAGGTGTGACAGCACATATGATAATTCCCACCAATATAATCAATTCATTCATGTCTCTCTTCTATATGAACATGTATAAAATTGCTAATTTGATTAAGTTTTGCTAATTTCCTTGTTGCTCTTATCCATATAGCAGCACATCTACTCGTATTATTGCCTTGCAAATACTATATTACTTGCTAAGTTCTCGTCCATGTGTCCATACAACCATTAACTTAATTAATATATTCAAGTCGCCCCACAATCCGATATACGCTTTTTACGATGTATACCTCTCATAATATAAGTAACTCCCATAATTTCCCTCTGTTCCCGTTCATGTCTTATACCGTTCAGAGAGTGGAATGTCACCAACGTACTTTTTTAGGATATACATGGTTTGCGCTTTCAAGTTTCCGGTATGTACGTCACTGGAATGACCACCCCGAGCCTTCGGCCCACCATCTTCCTATCGGCCCCCCGTTCCTCCCGATCCTGTTTGCACTGCACTGATTTCACTAATGTGGTTCACACTATCACCAATGTTAATTCACCCTTCAAATTTCTCATTGTCCAAATAAGTTCACTAACAAATTACAATGCTAACTTTCAAGTTTAGTAAACTTAGTTAAATTATTCAGATTGTGGTACAGGTACCCACCATGTTATCAATGCTGCTCTACTTGATTAAGCTTATGGGTCTCAGGGATGTACACCCCTCGATGTGCGTGCCATAATTCGATAATATAATTATAACTTTACTAACTTTAGCCGAATTACTCATATTAGTCAATTATTCACATCTCGTATGATAAAACTAGCAAGTTATTTTATTATCCTACTAAGGGGACTTCCCTTTTCCACCGGAGCATGATACCTTATAGGCTTTCATTTTCCACTGACATACACCATGAACAAGATTAGCGTCCCTCTATACTCGGTCTGCTGTGCAAACCAGTCCGAGTGACGATGGAGGTGGCGTTGGCGTGCGTGTGGGTCTTCCACAACTTGACGACCGTCCCATCGCCGTTGGTGATGAAGGTCTTGACGCGGTTGAGCTGGAAGAAGTTCACATTGTGGGTATCGTAGTCGCTTCCGATGTACCACCAAGTTGTGCTGGACCTAGACTTTGTTGGCGGCGAGAGCAACAGAGTTGAAGTAGTTTCGGGAGTGCTGGTTGAACTGGGCAAAGATGAGGGCCCCTCGAATGGCAGCGGCCAACGTCATTCACGTACCTTTTTTGCAGATGACGTGGCGGTCCTGGCCTTTGCTGTCGCTGAAGAGAGGGAATGTGGACGCTTTGCTCCTGCAGCCACTACACGTGAGCTAGAGGAATCGATTGGCCCGCCTTCGATGGTCTCCTCGATTTGGCCGCCGGTGTCGACACGACGTGCACCTTGCCGACGTAGTCCTTTGCGTAGCCATCATGGCTGAACAGTGTTGGCTGCTTCCTCCTCCAGGAGGACGCTGGTTTGCTCCATGACAGAGCCACGTGGACACGTGGGGGGGGGTTCACAAGAGGGTGCTGCTGCTTCAGACGCGTCTGCTCTTTCTGAGTTGTGCGGCCATGAGCGGCCGCCTGCAAAGCCGCAACACGCGATGGTGCCGCCAGGGAAGACCCTCCAGCGCCAGCAACGCCCTCCGCGGCGGCGCTCTGCGTCCCTCTTGCGCCTCTTGAGCACGTGGCTCCGTGGCTGCTGCAGATCTAGCCGCTGGTCCCGGTCCAGCCTCGTGCTTTAATCGCCTGCGCCAGCCTGATGCATCGGTCCAGCTCCTTCTCGTTTCGTGCCTCAAACGGCCCGGCCCTTCCGCCGAGGGGAATGTCTGGGGGAGGCACCTCATGCACCTCTGATCTTTGGTCGGCTCCTCCTTGGCCGCCTAGCTCTCCTCGAACGGAATGATTGGCGTCCTTTTCCGGCTCTGGAGCTAGCTCCGGGGCTGCATAGTGACGTCAACAAGGATATTGGAGAAAGTACTAATTAGCCCTCACGCTAATTCTCTCCTCATTGATGATTATGAATATATATAGATTCCTTCATTGTTTTCCGCCTCTTCATTACACCTCCGGCTACGCATCTACCCCC